AAATGTAAAAAAGCACACTCCCTTGGATGTGAAGTAAAGTTGAAATCTTGCCAGCTAATTCATTTAGTGTGAATTCAGTTTTCTTTTGCAAATCAACCTTCAGTTTCAAAGTATCATCTTGTGCCAAACGAAGCACATACTCACTCAGTGCCAAATTTTCTTCTAGTGCTTCTTTTTGTTCTAGCAAACTCTGGGGGTCCGCAACTGGTTCCCATAAATGAGTAATTGCAAATCAGCCTTTAGTTTCAAAGTATCCTCCAGTGCTTCAAAGAATTTTTAGTGATTGTACTATTTGCAGATTGTGTGTTGCACTTTAAACCCAAAATGTCTAAAACAATCCCAATGTGATTGAGTGATTCCTCGCATATTCTTCTACATGTCTTTTTCATTATTACATTTCTGATCTTCTTGCACCTCCAAAACACAAGACTAGACCTTATTAACCTTTGTTGTATTCTTAGAGATCCTATTTTGAAGCCCAACCCAATTCACTCTTAGCATCACAAATTGCAAGACTAAAGTAACTTTGACAATCCTATTCAAAACCCATAGTAGACCAAAACTTTGCATTCTCTTACTTAATGTAACCATAAAATCAACCCTCATGAACCAATTAAAATGCTGAAACTCCTTAGTTTCAACAACCTTTAAAGGCATATATTAAATAATATGCAACCTAAATAAATCCCTGCACCACTTTCCTACAATTTTGCAATGAAAGGTTGTAGGAGAGTCTTCATCACACTTGTCCTATATATCTACTAAATTTAACATCAAAATAATGCTCCCTAATCCATGCTTGTATCAAAGAAATGTCAAGCAATTCCTAATTTCTAACCTATAAGGCAGCATTAAACCATTAAAATGATTGTAACAGACTTGTTCATATACATGCCCACAAACGTGATAAAAACAAGCATTCCTTCATGAGACTCAAGGTTATGCTAAGAAGGATCCTATGTCAGATTTAAGCATATTCAAAACACAAGAACATTTTGTTGTTCATGTAGGTTTCAATTAATTTGAGGGACCTAAAGATTTCCATGTCATGAACCAACTCCTAGAACCTGTATGAACCTATTAAAGATAATTTTTCATTACAATCGCACTTTAATATAATCCTTTCCTTTAATTAATTGTATCTGTCTTTTGACAATCTGTCAACACTTCAAGATTGCTATGAACTCCCAACACTTTCTGTTAGCCCATAAAGCATAGAAATTTATTGCCAAGAGAAATTAAGGAAGAAAAAGGATCCAGCATCTTTCCTTTTAAAAGCTATGGTGGATGAAAAACAAGCTGGGATTGGATTAGGCATTGACTTATCTGTGTTGTTTAATTCTTCATTGAAACAAAAGCCCATGAATTTGAAAAAACCAATCTGTAGTAAAACTGGGGGCTAAGTGGATTCATAACCTACAACAGAGCCAGAACCTTGTTTAATACTTTATGTACTTGAAACCTAAGCATCTCCAATTCTTGACTCAAAACCTATATCAAATTTAAATTTGGATAAAAATTACTTAAAAAATTTCTCCACTTAAACTAATATCAATTTGAGTTTTACCCATTGTTTTATCCTAATCAAGGGAAGACTGCGCTCTTCCCTTGAGTCTGACCCCTTACCTGTGTAGAACGGGTACGCAAACTAGTTGTAGATGGTGCAGCCCGGGTAGTAGCTTTATTTGTAGATGGTGCAGCCTGTGTAGTAGTTGCATTTGTAGATGGTAAAACTTGAGTAGTAGTTGCATTTGTAGATGGTGTAGCTTGGATACATAGAGCATTTGTAGATGGTACACTTTGAGCATATGGAGTTAAGTTAGATGGCATTGGATCATACAAGTCAAAACCTAAAAGAAAAAATTATAAGCAAAAATTACAAAAAAAAAAAAAAAAAAAAAAAAACAAAACTCTGTTTGTACTATCATATGGGATTGGATTAACTATCTCAAGTCCAAAACCCCCTCCCCTTCCCTAAAAAAACAAATTGAAAATGACAAAAAAAAAAAAAAATCGTTCTCATATGACCAATTTCAAATTGTTTATCAATTCCTACCTTTTTTCCAAACAAATAATTAAAAACCAAACTAAATTAGCAAAAGCATCAACATTACTCTTTTTTTTTTTGAACAGAGCATCAACATTACTCTGATCTCATTAGAGAAGAAGATATAATTTTGCTCTTTAATTTACTCATCATGATGCTGTGGACTTGCTTTTTTCTTGCCCCCCCTTTATAAAGGTTTGAAATGAAAGGCCTCATAGTTCGGACTCCCGCGGTTCTGAATCTAATCTCACAAGTGCAATGTGAAACTGATAAACACCAAAGAGTTCAAATCCAGCAAATCTTTTTGGAAAATCGATTTTAAATCAAATAATGTCAAAATTGGACTGCTTTGCCAGATTATAGAGTCGTCACCTAAATATTTTATTTTGGAAAAATTTAGGAAACCCTGGCTCGTGCCGAAGGCCACGTGTCCATCATCACCAAAGTTTCCTCGGCTCGGGAACTTGGGTACGAAGGGGGAAGGTCATGAATTGAGCACCCTCGTTCCCCCGATCAAAGATCGGCATCTACTAATCATGATATGATTTTTTCTAAACACTATGCGCCTTTATTTCGATTATTAGACTAACTTTACTATGTGATGCGCACAAGAAAGTATAGACTAAAATTGCAAGAATTGGAACAATTCAATTTCATGTTTGTTTTCGAAAATAGTTTGAATTTGCCACCCTCAAGTGGGCTTAAAGATGCAGTTTTGCCACCAAACATAGTGGGCTTAAAACATGATTTGCCACTCAACAATGTGGGCTTAAAACTTACATTCATTGAATTGTTCAAATTCAAACAACAAGCCTTCATCTATAGGCATTCATACGGTTTAGCATTTAAGCACATAGCCTCATGGCAAGCATGCTAATCATGGCAACACTCATACTCATGCAAGTATGCTAAAGCGTAAAACTGACCTAATACTGCGAGCTAGGAAAACATGAGTTAGAAAGCAATGCATGATCCTAACTATACAATATGCCTAATGCAACACATGCAATAATGTAATTAATAGGCTCGGCTACTAATATAGCATATGATTTTGTTTGATAACATGCTTTTAAACACGTATTCAAAGAAGTATTGAAATGATAATGCAGTTTGAATAATGCGTCGAGTCTCGGTGCATGCAAGACAAATGAATGGATGCAAGCATGTGATATGCTAATTTAAACATGATCCCTAATCTAACCATCAAAAGCGATTAAATAAAAGGGAGAAAGGCATGGGGCTGGAAGACATACACACACACACGCACACTTGTTCACACTTATTACAACATTACGTTCTCGTGAAGGAGGGTTCGAATGAATAGGCTAACTAACTAGCTATGCTAATTTAAGCTAATTATTACAACACTCGAAACTAATTAACTATTCTAAGCTAATTGAATATTACAATTAAACTAACTAGCTAGGTACTTTAACTAATTAATTACAAAACAACTAAACTAATTAATTACAACACGAATTAATCAACTAATTAACTAGACAAGTTAAATAAATGGCCTCGGGAAACGAGGGATGCATGCATGCTCGATTTCTCCACTCGAAAAGTCATCGTTTTACTGCTCGAGCCTCTATTTGCACATTGGAACACCAAAAATTTTGCCAACTTCCAGAATACCTCTGCTCCACCTCAGGAACACACTGTGCAAATTTTATTGGTGGCCGACAGGGGACTTGTCGGCTACCAATGGTGGCCGGGCGGCTACCACAGGTGGCCGGTCGGCAGCTAGTAGTGGCCGGTCGGCCACTGATGACATAAACTTCTCTTTTTGCTACAACAGAGAGTAGACAGAGCAAAACAGTGTATTCTCACAGATTATTTGCACACCTTGCCTCTCCTTTTCATGGGGAGACCAAATAAGGGACAAAATTTGGGTTTACAAACCATCGATTAAGCAACTTCATTGCCTGATGGTTTTTGAAACCAATTGTACAAGTTCAATGAATGTAAAAATGACACCAAAGGACCATCACCCTGCATGATCAAGGGCAATGGAGACCAAGGAAAATGGCACATTTCATCACTTTTGAGTATGAAATGTTCCATTTTCCTTGTGTTCAAACTAACGTCCGGTTTGAACACATGCAATGCAACATAAAGAATGCTTATCTTGCACACTTTTACTTGTCAATTTTGTTTACTCATTTTAATTACCAAAGCCATTCTTTAATTGATTAAGTCCATTGGTGAGTGTCCTCTAATCATTACAAGAAAAATAAGATATTACCACGTTTTTTTATCAGACGTTTTTTGAAAAACGTCATGAAATCTCTTATAATTTTCTTTTTTGAGCAAATTTATTTACCCAACTCGTTTTGTACACGGTTATTAAAAAATTGTGAAATACATTTATTTGTGATTGAAGAGGCTCCTCTGATAAAAAAGAGAGGCGTGACTTTAGAGAACAGAGCATGACTTTTGAGAGAGAGCGAGAGAGATAGAGGGATAGAGATAGAGGCAGAGAGAGAAATCAAGGCCTTGGATCTTTGATCTCCATCGATTCTTTGGTTGTATGATCTGGAAATTCTTATTCTACACTTGATTTGAGCATTTGTCTGTAATATCGTTTGAATCCCTCTTATCTAAGTCGATCTAGGGCTCAAGGTTAGAGTTTTTTGATATGGATTTGCTACATTCACACAAGATCTGTAGACTTTGATGGCTTAAACTAACGATTTATAGTTGATTTCTAGTTTCTTTTCTTCTATTTTGTATTTTCTCTTTTCGAATCGATTTATCTAGGGTTTTGAGTGCCGTGTTAATGTCTCTGATCACGTATAGTATAAGCAAGTAGCGTTGGATCTGGATTGTTAGCAACAATGAGTAGAAGCAAGCTCAACGACGTAGAGATGTAGATCTTATTCTCAGATCTGCTCTTTATTTGATCAGATCTGCTCTCTCTGTCTCTCTGATCTACTATTATGGTAATATCAAATCTGCTTTTTCAATCTCGCTGATTGAATTTCACGTATTCTATTCATTGCTCTATGAGATTTGGACCTCTCTCTTTCTCTCTCTGTTTTTGATTGAATCTCATTATCTTTGTCACTATCACATTTTTCTTACAAAAAAATGTCAAAACAGTTTCTAAAATTGGTGCTGGTGACTAGTTCATTGGTGCTCTTCTATGCATATTGATGATGACTGATTTGTAGTTGAGGTTAGTATTCCTGATGCTATGATTCATATCCTACTGACATAAATTTTTTCTATGGATTTTTTTGTTATTGGAATTGCTTGTTGATATTGTGATTCTTATTGTACCATTTTCCTTGCATGTCAAATGTTCGATAAAATGTGTGAATGGAAAAATTTTGTTATTTTTATTTTATCTTTTATTTTTTAGCCAAACACTGGAAAATAAAAATGATGATGAAACTTTTACTGTAAAAAACACTTTTATTAGTGTAGTATTTTCTGCCAATCTGAAAGGGGTGTTATCTGTGTCTACCATGGGATCTTGTGCACCCTCAATGATAATAATGTGAAAAATAGTTGTAGTGAACTATGTAATCATCTATCTCACAATCTTTTTGTTGTCTATAATATTAGCTCCCCCTATCTTTCCTGATATCCTCTTGATATTGTTTCCTATGAGAAATATCAAATGCTCCATTTTTGGAAATAAATGTTCTGGACATTTGAAGATTCACCTACATTTTCAGTTTGATGTCAAACAAACTTGTCTAAATGGTTATTTTGGTACTAAGAATAGTCATTATTAGGTTGGACTGTTATCGAGCATGAATATGAAGCAACTAGGCAGCTATAGACTAAAGATTTTGATCCATAGTTTCTTATTTGTTAAGTGACTTGTTTGTCATACTGTTCAGAAATGGTCCTCTACTTTTGTTTGTAAATCTTACATTTTAATATTGAAATGGCAGAGTATGCACACTTTGCTTGTGATTTTCACTAGAAATGTCATGATGAAATAATAAAGTTCTCAATTATAAAGTTCTCTATTATATATTTTCTTGAATGTTGGTTTCTAGAAAGTGGAACCATAAACCATGAAAATGATGGAAAACTCAAGTTTTATGTTGAGAAAGTTGAACCAAATATGAGTTATGGAAGCCCAATATGGCATCCTCTGATACTTTGAATAAAAAGTAAAAAAAATTGGTTGGGAAATCATGGGTGGGATTCCGTTCTAGTCTTGATGTTAATGTTGTTTGGGGTTGATTTAGCCAATTCTTTTTAGTTATTGCTATTAGGTGACCTGAGTTGTTTTGTTACGTGGTGGGATCTAAACTGGGTATCACTTCCTTCAGCTAAGTATCTGTTGGTCTCTTCTGTAGCTGAGTTGTTATATCTGCTGTATCTGTTTTTATGCTGTTAGATCTGTGTATCTGTGTATATGTTGGTAACACCTCTGCTGTCTTTGGTTTTGTGCTGCTACCTCTGCTATAGTGTTTTGTGTATCTGTTGGTCTCTCACTAATAATTACCTGGTTTGATGGCTTCCACGTTATTGCAGAAAATATGATCGGTCTTAGCCAATTGCAGTTGCTTCAGCTTCCCTAGACTTTGGTAGGCCACAACTCCTGTACCTTTGAGGATCATCCTCAGGAATCTAGAAGTTTTTTTATTTGGAAATGATCCGAGATTACTAATTTTCAAAATGGGATTTGTTGAATCATAAACTTTTAGTCTAAGCTCTTTTATGCTTGCTGAGTGTTAGTTTATGTTTTCCCTCTTTTGTTTCTATAGTTATAGGCACTGTTCTTTTTTTTCTTCATTTGCTTAATGGTCTCTGTGAGGGACATTAAGGGGTGCATTTTGTATTGTTTATGTTTTTGAAAACTACCAAGAAATCTTGTTTGGAAAACTATTTTTGGGAAAGTTTTCTGAAAACTCTTTTTATTAGAACACTTTAAAATTGTTTTCTGAATCTTTTAAAAACTATTTTTGCAAAAATGAAAATGATACGACACTGAGGGATGTTGAACTAAAAATCAAAATTTTGAAAACGATACCAAACAAAGCCTTTATGCCTGTGACCGTACTGAGCTTGACCTATTAGTGTTGATCACTATAGCACATTAATGTTATTTAGTCATTTCATAACAGGTAAGCACTTGATCAACTTATTCATTCAATACACACCCTATGAACCCTCTGATGGCAGCTGGGAAGACCCTGCATATAGAGTGAGCAGGATTTAAATTCTACTTTTCTACTTCTAACTCTGGTAGTATGTGAAATATTGATATTGATTTCTCAGTTTGTTTCCTTCTTTATCTCTATAGGCAACACACTTTTTCTGTTTGATTACAAATCATTAGACAGTTAACAGATGAACATTTCTGTAGGAGTCCTTTGCACAAAGATATTTTACCTTGATCGATGAGTATGCCGCAGGCTTCAGCTCATCAATTATTGGCTATGACATGTTGACTCCACTAGACCTTCAAAGAGAAATTGGTCTAACAGGTATGTTTTGCATAGCTGCATGTGTTTGCTGTCCTCAAGAAAAAAACTCTTGGTTATTAAGTCTAAATGTTTAACATAAAACTCGTCTAAATGTTTTTTTTTTTGAAGGTGTTTAACTCAAGTGTTTCTTTAATATGTTCCTTCCAAGATAAGATCAGAAATTTTTATAACAGAAACTTGAATATGCTGGTGTTACAGCTAAAGAGTCAAATATATTCACTACTGTTGTTATCGTGTCTGCAACTAGGGATGATTGTTGAGCCTATTTGTTGTTCATACTTGTTTTTTTTGGGGGTAAATCTCCACCATTTGCTGTCAAACCAGCACCATCACCATCACTTAAAAATATGGTAAAGACAAGACCCCCCAACCCACAAGGGAGCCATTTGCTAGATTTCAAGAAGAATTCACTTTATATACAATTCACTGTTTGCTGGTTTATAAAATCTCTTTTCTTCTAGATTATTGATGAAAAGTCTTTGATTAAAAAGTCTCTCAATACAACATTTATACCAGGTTGCCCCATAAAAACTGTCTTATATGAATACCTTTGGCTGTGGCATACATATTTGACAGTTAGAGATTGTGAAACACTTGCAAAACAAATAAATGGTTCAACAATAATTGAAGATAATAATAATAATAAATGAAGAAGAATGAATAAAATTATAAAAAGAAACTGCTTACATGTTACATTTTTCTCTAACTATCAAGAACTCAAGGTTATATTGGTTGTAGCTCACTCTTATACATACATACCAACACCCCACACATGTACCCAGTCAATGTAACAGTAAATTTTCTTGTTATGCATTACTTTCAAGAATTTGGAAACATAATATTTCTACCTTTTAAGTTACTTTGACTTTGCAAAATTAGTTGTTATTGGTGTTTGGCGCAGGTTTATTTCCATGACATACCAAATGAGGTCATTGATAGCCTGGTAAAAATAGACAAAGAATATGGATTTTATTTGTAATTGTTTTTATGTAATGTGCTTACTCTATGTGGTGAGTTATATTCAGGGTTTGGGAAGGAATTATGCTCAATGTTGCTGGAGGTTTCATGCTTGAACATCCTTTGACATTGCCCTTTGTTGACACCATGGTAAGCTTGTCATCAAATTTGTTATTCCTTTTATCCGATTTGTATCTGAGTAATTATGTAAATGATTGAGAATCCCTCTCATCAAATTTGTTTGTTAGTTGGTTATTTGCATCATTTTATGGGTTGATTTCTCACAACGTGGGCATCTATTGCTTTTCTCTTGTAGGTAGGGACAACTGTTAGTGGTGCTGATGTTCTGATCTTGATTCATTATCTTCGATATTTGTTTTTTTTGCCATATTTCAAGTTATATGGGCTAAGTTGATTCGTTTGATTGGTTTTTATTTGAAAGTCCTGTATTTTAATGTCATGTTGGTATATATGTATTAATATTTTTTCTGGGGTATGTATCAACATTTTTTTGTGGGTATGGTTTGTGGTTAAATATAAACAGGTAGGAAATGTTACAAATTTTCTTCTATTGTTTGTCAAATGTAAAATTGTAGCCATCTCGAAAAGAATTAAACTTGTTTGGCTTATTTTTAGTTTATGTGCTGATTATTTTTGACAATTGAATCCTTATTTTGCTAATATATAGTTTTGTGTTTGAGGAAGGAATTCATATTTGGAAAAAATTCTGATCGGGTTCAGATATTTTTTTTTTATTTTGAAATTTTTTTTAGCGACGTTTTAATAAAAACGCCACAAAAGATCTTGTATGACGTTCATAAAACGTCGCTAAGTTATAGCGACGGCCGCGTCCTCGACGTAATTTTAAAACGCCGATATATGTTTTGCCGACGTTTTTGATAGCTTTAGCGACGTTTTTTAAATGCCGGTAAAAGATATTTTTCTTGCAGTGAATGGAAAGATGACTCAAATCACAAGGTGCTTTAGGCATGAAAGAGGCATTACACTTTTGGTAATGAACCGCCTAAGGGATTAAACCCTTAGGTGCAACACCTTCATTTCACACTTAGGCAAACAAGAGGTTTAAAACCACTTTCAAAGCAAACAAAAGAGCGAATAATTGAGGGAGGTTGTAGAGATTAAAGTGCCGAAATTAAGTGCAAAACAACACTAAAACATGCTATTAACTCAAAACAATAATGATTAAAGCATTAAAACATCAAGCTAGTGAAAGAAATTACTCTACAATTATGCCATACAAGGCTCAAATGACCTAAACAGCCAAAAAAAGAACTAAAACAGGTCAAAACAGAGGCGAAAACATGTTGGACTAAAGCTAAGTTAAGCTAGAAAAACATGCTAACACATGAAGCTAACTAGGCATGCAAACAAGACACAAGGAGGGGAGGCTAACCCTTCCAAATTTGGACTTCAAGAGTTGATTTTTACCACTGAAAAACCTCTGAAATTCAGTGGTTAAAAGGCCCAAAAAACTTGATTTAAAAGTGATGAAAAATAGCACAAAAAGCTTAACAATCTAAGAAGGAAGAAGGGTACACCACCCCTAACTAAAAGAGAGCTCAAACCACCACATTTAGGTCACAAAAATAGAGGTTTTTACAACTCAAAAGAAACCTTAAAACAATTAAAAGGATGGAAAAACCAAGTATACAAAGCAAGTAAAAACAAGGCAAGTGTTATACCTTTGAAGCAAAGCACAAAATAACCAATAATCCAAGCTCACACCACCTTCTAGAGCCCAAACAAGACTCCAAGTAATCTCAACCCAAAGGTGAGAGTTTTTGGTTAAGGGTTGGTATGCAAAAGCTAAAGATTTGTGAACAAAGGTGTGCAAACTATCGAGAGAGAGAGAGAGAGAGAGAGAGAGAGAGAGAGAGAGAGAGAGATTTGCTCTTATTTTTCTAACCCCAAAAAATGGGGGAGGATCCCCCCTATTTATAGAAAAACACCCCTTGACCTTAGAAACATGTCACCATACACGTGTATGGAGATGCAGCTCAGTGTGCAACAGCTGGCACAATTGTCAATAAATATGTAGAAAAAGGCACTAGTGGTCGACTAGCCACAACCATGGCTGACAAAAACATCCCATGGCTGATAGCCTTGGGTGGTGGCTGACAGGTCACCAAGAGGTCCAGACACCAAGTTTTGGTCCAAAACAAGGCATAGAAAGAACAAGGATTAAAGGCTCAAAGACAGGGCATTCCGCCGAGGACTTCAGGCACTCAAAACGAACACAAACACACAATCATCGAGTGCACGAGTGATGACGTCTAAGTCTTGAGGACAATAAAAAATGGGGTGTCTACAAATGCCACTACCCATTTTTTTCGCTTTTACCTTTTTCTAACTCTAAACCTCTTCACATGCTCATTCAAAAACCCTTCAACAATAAAAAGTCTCAATTGGAGATGATGTAGCCACAATGAAATCATTTTCGAACACTCTAAAATACACAAGAAAACGAAGATAAAAAATTCAATTTATTCAATATTATAAATCAATTCATAGTGCAACAATCAATCACTAACACAAAAGACAAACTCACCATTCAATTAACATATATATATATATGTACGTATTTAAAACTTTAGTATTATGAAATCTCAAATCCACTGATTTTAATTTCGAAAACTCTAAAATACAAAGAAAAATAAAAGATCAAAAGCTTGATTATTCAATGAAATCAATTTATAGTGCAACAAAACTAATCGAACAATACCACAAACAGTATCAAACAAACTCACCATTCAATCAACATATACACATACAATACAGAAATATATGTATGTATACGAAAGAGAGAGTAATTTGAAACATTAGTATTAAGATATCTCAAATCCACCTTCGATTGAATGAAAGTCACATTCAGACCAATAATCTAGAGAGAGAGAGAGAGAGAGAGAGAGAGAAGAGGGCAGTGACCCAAACAGAGGGTCGTGATCTGCTGCCACCCAGCGTTGCTGTGTCGTTTGCATTCGGTGGTGCGAGAAAGCAAGAGGAAGAGAGAGAGAGGGAATACATTCAGAATATCAGAGACAGAGAAGAAAAGAGGGAAGCGACCCAAACAGAGGGTCGCGATCTACTGCCATCTAGCACTACTGTCATCCCCCAGCGCTGCTGTGCCTTTTGCATTCGGCGGTGTGAGAGAGGAAGAGGAAAAGAGGGAAGAAGAAGAGCATACTTGTGTTGTGCGTTTCTGGTGGACTCAGAAAATGAAATAGAGAATTGATGGTCAATTGCTTCTTTATTCGCCCAAAATATTTAGTCAATTATTTTTGGTAATAAAAAATTAGGGCAAAGACAAATAATTTATTAGTGACCAAATTAATTTGGTTACCATAAATATTATTCAGATTTTTAACGACCAAATAATGTTTATCGCCAAATAAATACAACTGACGACTAAAATTTATGTTGCCAAAAATAAATTTGGTCGCCGAAATTTTTTTAGTGATCCGTGCAGAATTTTCACTTGGCGCCAAACTCAACAGCGACTAAAAAATTAAATTCGTCACCAAAAGTTTAGCTTTTAGAGACCATAAATATTCTGTCGCCAATTATGTATCTTTGGCGACTAAAATTTTGTTTGGTTGCTAAAAAACGTCGCCAAAAATGCTTTTTGTTGTAGGGCAATAATAGAAATGCCTTCAAAGCAATCACCTCATCTTCACATCAGGTTGATGGGCACCACAAATGCCTACATACACCTCTAACATGGTAATCAACGCCTCTTTTGGCCCTAAACATTCCAATAGCAACCTATATGCTCCTTTTTTGTACAGGCCATTCCCATGCACTATGAATTGCATTGATTGCAATTTAAGCCTTCTATTGGCCTTCGAAGAAGGAACAATTGAATACTGCATGATTGGTTGTCTCCAATCATGTTCTTCCAAATCATTTTGGTTAACTTTTACCATGATACCCCTTTTAGCTAAAGGTGGTATTAGCTTCTGATATGTTGTTTGACTTATGTCCATTTGAGTGTCAACCCTTTTTCTGAAAGTCAAAGCCCTCTAAAGCTACATCATTGGCTTTGTGATTCATGAATCTTGGGATACAAGTCACATTTGCTATTTGAAACTGAGAAAAGAAATGTAACGTAGCAATATAATATGGTAACATGCTTACACTTTGACATTTAAAAATTCCTTTTACTTGGTTGATTACCAATTTGGAATCTCCAAATATATCAACTGCATGAGTCTGTAAGCCAATAAGTATCTCAAGTCCCATTACCAAAGCTTCATAATCAGCTTGGTTGTTGGAACAAGTAGCTTCGTCAATTTCGAAACCATGTGTGGTTTCTACCCCCTGTGGTGACTTAATTACAACACCAATTCTGACTAGACTATTGGCTTTTGATCCATCAAACCACATTTGTCATGGTTCAACATCAATTGTGCCAAGTTCCATTATCTCTTGGCTTTCTGTTTGACATGGATGATCAGCCAAGAAGTTAGCCAAAACCTATCATTTTTTTGCCTTTTAGGGAACATATTCTAAGTGGAATTCTGACAAAGCTAAAATCCATTTGCCAATTCTTCCTCTTAACATGGGTCTAAATAACATGTATTTAACCAAATCTGTGGTTGCAAAAGATAATATCTCAATTGGATTACTGAAAATACAATGCTAAAGACAGCTTTTCTACAACTGAGTATTTACATTTATAAGAATTTAAAAACCTACTAAGGTAATATACTGCTTGTTCCTTACCTTCTTCATTGTCTTGAGCTAGAAAAACTCCTAATGAATCTTCTGCTACAATAATGTATAGCTTCAGAGGTCTGCCTTTCCTTGGTGGCATCAATACTGAAGGCTTTGCCAAGTAGGCTTTGATTCCTTCGAAAGCAGCTTGATGCACTATTGTCC